TTAATTCATCTCTGATTAATTTCAAGGAAGAAATTTAAAAAGAAGGAAAAGATGAAACCTAATGTCTTCAGGGAAATTTTCATAAAACTGTTTGGATAAACCTCTGACCATAGTCAAAGATTTGTTAATTACCTCTGTGGGGCACCCGTCCCCAAGGTCTTAACCACACCAACCTAGTAACTTTTAGAGTTGAACATAAATACTTCCCTGCTACATGGTAATGATTCTTGGCATACACATAGACCAACGCAGTGCTCTCTTTGCTTAATTAGACAGAAATCTACCTACAAATGTATCTAACAAGAATACATACTCAAAGACTACAAATATCCTATCAGAAGTACATCTAACAAAACCTAACTCATTAACTCTTCCACCAGTCCCACAGCTGGTTTTTCTCTAACATCCTCATCAGATAGAGACTTCTATTAAATCTTGCAAATGTGATTTAAATGCAAATGTGATTGTGTTGTTAGTATAAGAAACTGGTGGCTAATACAATATTTCATGGACTCAGTGACTTGCCAAACAAGATTTTTTCTGAATTATCAATGAAATTTAGGATCATCATAAGGGGAACATGGGAACATCTGGACTACAGGAGAGCACGACAGCTGTGAATTCCTGTCTCATGAAAACATAGGTATGTTCTAGTATTTTCGTCTTCTGGTAAGTATTCTCTGCTATCTACAACAGAAGACACAGAGTAGAAAACAGATCCTAGATAGCATACACCTGAGATAGCGTAGGCCTCAGTCTAACATGAAAGCAAAAATGTGAAAGGTATGGGAGATATAAATAAATACCAATACACTAATGCCCCCTCAGGAATGAAGATTATACCAAATTTCAACAAAAGCAGTTAGTGGATTTTGAAGTTACTGAATGCTCATTCTACTAAATATCTTATGTTTAATATATCATTCAATCCTCCTCACAACCATCCTACAAAGCAGGTGCTACTAGAATAACTATTTTATAGATAAGGAAACTGAGGCTTAAAGAAGTTAATTAGCTTGCTCAAGCTCACACAGCGAGGAAGTGACTGAAGTCTGCTCTAATAAAATCATGGGTGATCTCACTCTAGGCCTGGGGTCGTACCTAGTTTTTTTTGTTTTCTGTTGTTGTTGTTGTTGTGAGGAAGATTGGCCCTGAGCTAACATCTGTTGCTAATCTTCCTCGTTTTGCTTGAGGAAGGTTGTCGCTGAGCTAACATCTGTGCCAATCTTCCTCTATTTTATGTGGGATGCCACCACAGCATGGCTTGAGGAGCAGTTCTAGGTCGGTGCCCGGGATCTGAACCTGCATACCCTGACCACAAAAGCAGAGCACGCAAACTTAACCACTACTCCACTAGACCATCCGCTTAACTAGTTTTATATTGTCTTTTTCTGCTTTGACTTTGTATGGATACAACTATATAGCCTCTTACTTTTCAATAAATAAAAGATCCATTTAATATCTTTTCATTTTTTACAAAATTTTAGACAATTATGAAATTTTATGTTCTCGTTTTCTCTCCATATCATTGTATACATTCAAATTTAAATATATTTCATTCATTTGTCTTAAATTCACTAAAGAAAGTAAAATGTAAAGTGATGCTGTGTTACTAGAAACTGAAGTCCATATCATGAAAAATGAACAACTGAGTTTCCATTAAATGTAGCATGCCTTTTTTTAACATCTATCCTAGCTCATGCTGTGTCTCATTTTTAATATCACATTCACTTCTAAATTAAAATTAAAATAATATCTTGGGGCCAGCCCAGTGGCACAATGGTTAAGTTCATGCACTCCACCTCGGCAGCCTGGGATTCAAAGGTTTTGATCCTTGGCACAGACCTACATGCAACTCATCGAGCCACGCTGTGTGGCACCCCATATATAAAATAGAGGAAGATTGGCACAGATGTTAGCTCAGGGCTAATCCTCCACACAAAAAATAATAAAATATTAATACCTAAAATTTGAGACCCAAGCCTTAAACCAATATAGAAAATGTTAAAAAGCATAAAGTGAAAAGGTCCATATTTGGGTTCACAACATCAAATTACGTAAAGTGTAATTCTGGCTCAATAGCACTTATAATAAGGCTACCTGGGGCCTTATGTGATCCAAAGTTTAAATTGAGCCAGTAATGTTTTTCACGTGCTAAACCCAACAAACATATATTTTTGGAAAGGTATGTAGATCACAGATGTTCAGTGTTCCCTTCAGTACTGCAGCACACCTGGAGTCCTCTGTTCACCTGGAACTCACTGATCTCAGCCATTTGCTAAACCATGGTGTGTCCAATGATAGCAACCAGAAAAGCATGGTAACTAAAGGTCACACACTGTCAGGATCAGCAGACAATGATCAATGTCAGTCTGGGAAGAGAAAATCAAAGAGTATATTTGATAACAGATTTTAATATTAAAAGAGATGTAAAAGATATATAAAATTTTTTTAATGAGCCAAACTAAACAACATTGTCTAGAGCTGCACATTTGGGTAATTAAGCTTTAAAATACAAGGAGGTGACTACTATGTCAGGATAGTGGATGAATACTTTGAGGGACAGGGAAGCTTTTGATTGGGATCAGGCACAAAGAGAAGCTCTTCGGGTGCTCAGCAATGCTCTTTTTTTGTTGTTGTTGTTGAGACAGATTGGCCATGAGCTAACATCTGTTGCCAGTCTTCCATTTTTTTTTTTCCTTGAGGAATATTGTCCCTGAGCTAACAACTGTGCCAATCTTCCTCTATTTTGTATGCATGACAGCACCACAGCATGGATTGATGAGCAGCATGCAGTCCACGCCTGGGATCCAAGTCCGTCAACCCCAGGCTGCTGAAGCAGGGAACACAGACTTAAAGACTAAGCCACCAGGCCGGTCCAATGCTCTATTTCTAGACCTGGGTCTTAGTGACGAGAATATTCACCTTAACTCGTCAAGTTTTTTTTTCTTCTGTATCTATGTTTTATTTGATAATAAAACTTGTTTTTTTTAATGAAATTGTGTTGAAGTGACTTATGTTGTGTTCTTTCCAGAATAAAGAAAAAGAGCCAGTGCCTGGGTGTTACAAAGTGGCATCTTTAAGTTCAACATAAGAGGTAAGTAAGAGGCATTGAATAAAGGAAAGAGACTGCTTCATGTGCAGCTGACTTTCCTGTTACTGAAGTTATGAAGATGGAAGTTGTGTGAGTATTCTGTAGAAGGATCTCCTCTACAAGGCAGAAAACTGGATACATGGCTCTTGAGGTCCATTTCAACTCAAAAAATTCTGTGGCCTTTTAATTCTTAATACCATCCCAACCTTAACTGGTCAAAAAAAGCTGAGTGCATGTTGTAATCAATGCATTTTGGTAGCTCAAGTCCTCTGCTGCCCCTGGGGTTCATTAGTTCAATATGTACATTGTGTTTCTGGGTATTTTTGTGTACATAAGTATGTTTGTGCATTTTAAAAGTTAGGCAAAAAAATTTTTTTAATTATTTCAGTTTAGTCTACTATCATGGTAAAATCACCAGTGTGAAAAATAAAGGGAACAAGGGGTAAATAGAATAATAATGATTTCTGGGTAGGTAAATATAGTTTTTAATTCTTAGAATTAAATATGAACCAAGCACAGTTCCAAATTTTTTCTCAAATATTAACCCTCACAACCTCCTTTTAAAGAAAGAAGTGTTATTATCTTCACTTAAGATACTGAGAACCTGGCACGCAAACAGCTTAAATAATTGCCCAAGGATACATTCCAAGTGGTGAAGCTGGGATTTGATCCCACACACTGTGAGTCCAGAATCTGTGCACTTAGGCATGATGCTTAACTTAGCTGACATCTTATTATATAAAAACTGGATTCATTAATTAAATAAAATTTTCATTTTGTGTTGAGAAAATCTACATCTCTATCTCATACTACTTAGTTCCTTCTTCATGATTGTAACATTATAATGTTCTAACTAAAATGTTCTAACAATGATACACTGTAATTTATCTTTACCTTATTGTACTTTAAGTGCAACAAATAAGGTTATTATTCTCTGGCCCCAAAGACTCTCTAAATGTAAAGCACCCTATGTCTGAACTGCATGGTCAGAAACAACATGCATAAAAAGTTATAAACTAACGCAGTCATTCAACAGTCCATCTATTTAATGATATGATAAAGTATTCAGAAATAGTGAGACTGATGTAATTTCATCCCTTATCTGTATTCTTTTAGAGTTGAAATGAGGTGATGATTTACCTATAGAGTTCCAAAGCAACCAGAGGATCCACTTGTGTAATTGGTAAATTCTCTGGGGAAAAAGAACACACTGATTATTTAATGAACTGCTTTTTGTATGAATTATCTGTCTTGTGAATTTTGCTGACTGGGCAGGTGAGTAGGAGCTAACACAGATTGCTGCCATATGTATGTCATAACCAAGAGTTCTAGAATTAGTTCAACGTTTAACTCTATAACAATTCAATAAGGCTATTTAGATAGTGTAATAGCAGTAATGAAAGGTATTCAAAGAAACATATGATCTCTGTGCATGTAAATAAAGGTTAATAATAAGAAATATTATTTTTTCCTGGCACCAAAAACACATGCACAAAAAAGAGCAGTGTAGTAGAGAACACCAAAATTGATACAGGAAAACAGTGTCTGCAATGTTGAAATGAACAAAAAATATGAGAAGGAGAAGGTTGGTGTGTATACTGATTATGATTATGACTATAACGGTTGGATGTAGACATTTTGAAGTGAATTTGGAAAGTGATTCTGATACCAAATGGTGGACCTTATCCCAAGAAAATATGTTATTTAACTTTTTATCTCAAGCTCAACTCCTTGATTAAGAGAAAGATTTGTCATGATTAAGTGATGCTTATGTCATAGTTTCAAGGAGGAACAAACTTCAAAATACAACCCACGCTTAAAATTATACAATTAAGTTTATGTATTTATTACTTACACAAAATACATAGAAAGCATTTGCAAAGATTTGCAATTCAGTGTAGTTGAGTTTAACATATTTTTTGAATCATTCCGATTTTGATTAAATGTGACAAGGCTTTCAGCACTGAACACAGGGGAAACGTTAAAAGACATGATTCAAATGGAAGAAAGCACGTAAATAAGCGAGTTTTGGATGCCCATGACAAACTCCAGAGATTTTTAGCTCTACCTAAGGATGACAGCAGCTTTTGTTACCATGGTGTTGTCTCCTAGCCTTTCATAAAGAGAAATGGAAACAAGCAATGGAAGTTCTGAAACAGACTTCATTCTTCTGGGGTTTTCTGACAGGCCTCAATTAGAACGCATCATTTCTGTGCTTGTCTTCATCTTCTATACTGCCACTCTGGTAGGAAACACAACCATCATTCTTGTATCTTACCTGGATACCCAGCTCCATATTCCCATGTATTTCTTATTATCCAATTTGTCTTTTCTGGACATCTGTTATACAACTAGCATTATCCCCCAAATGCTGGTCAATCTATGGGGTCCAAAAAAGTCTATTACATATGGAGGATGTGTGCTCCAATTCTTCTTTGCCCTGGACTTGGGAGCTACAGAATGTCTTCTCTTGGCTGTGATGGCCTATGACCGCTATGCTGCTGTCTGTCAACCTCTTCACTACACAGTAATAATGCACCCTCAGCTTTGCCAGAAGATGGTCCTGACTGTCTGGTTAGGTGGTCTAGGCAGTGCCTTAATTCTTTGCCCCTTGACTTTGAAGTTGCCAAAATGTGGGCACCGGGAAGTGGATAATTTTTTCTGTGAGATGCCAGCATTGATCAAGATGGCTTGTGTCTATTCAAAAGTAACTGAGATTGCTGTCTTTGCTCTTGGAGTGATACTTCTTCTAGTACCTCTATCACTAATTCTCATCTCATATGGAGTTATCACTCATGCTGTCGTGAGGATCAAGTCAGCAGCAAGGTGGCATAAGGTCCTCAACACATGTGGTTCGCACCTCACAGTGGTAACTCTGTTTTATGGAACAGTCATTTATATGTACATGAAGCCACAGAATCACACATCCCAAGATGAAGGGAAGTTCCTTACTCTCTTTTACACAATCGTCACACCCAGCCTTAACCCTCTGATCTACACTTTAAGAAACAAAGATGTCAAGAGTGCAATAAAGAGAATACTGTGCGTAGAAAAATGGTCAGCAAAGTCATGACTTAGATGGAAAAAATCAGGGTGTAGAGAGCTAAAGAAATAATATTGACTTTTACCAACAGATAATGAATCAATTCATTTATTCAAAGAGCATTTCTGGGGTGTGTACTAAATAGCAAGAATTATACTAGGTATTCGCGTTATAAGTAAGTAGGAAGTACAGAGAAATGATAAGGAGACAGATAAACAAGACGTACAGATACAAAAAGAAAATGCAATTCATGTGCTAAAAAAGTCTCAAGACTAATCAGGGACTGCAGATAAATAAATATATGATTATGAAATGTTGTAAGTACAATAATAGAGATATGTGCAAAGTATTAAGGAAAGATTTCACTCAGGCATTTATTCTAAAGTAGGATTATAGTGGACACTGATTTTTTTCTTTCCATACTTACCACTTTTATGAGAAACAACACTCCCTTTCATTCATCTGATACTGCCAGAGGAGCCTTTGTGGTGGAGATTAATTTCCTACCAATTCTCATTCCACCTTCTGCCTCAAGTTATAGGACCACTGTGCTGCAAATTACATTTCCTAGTCTGGTCTCCACCAACACAATGCCAGGGAAGTAACATGTGCCACTTCTGGGTAATTCTGTCAAATATGAAGCCACTTGCTCTCACCCCGCCTCCCTCCTTCCTCTTCCCGTTGGCTGGAATGCGAATGTGGAGGGTACCTAGCTCTGACAAAAACCCTAAGAGGGAATGGAACAGTAAGATGTAAACAGAACACCCCCCCTCCCCAGCTGAGCAATTCCTCCAGACTATAGAAGGAGAAAAATCCTCTATATTATTTCATATTAATTAAGTCTGTATTTTGAGGTCTCTCTATTACAGTAGCTTGGCTTTTCTCCTTATGTGGTCTGATAAAGGATTAGGCTTTTTCCTTTAGGGTAGTGTGGTCCCCGGGCCAGCAGCATCAGCATCACCTGGCAACTTATTAGAAATGCAAATTCTTGGACCCCACCCCAGACCTACTAAATCAACAATCTGAGGATGGACCCAGCAATCTGTTGTTTTTAACAAGCACTATGTGTGATCAGGCTAAAGATTGAGAACCACTGTTGTAGAGAATAGGGAGACATTGAATGTCTCTAAACAGAAAATTAACATGGTTTTATAAATATTATTAATTTCCTTCCTGATAGATATGCAAAAGAAGATCAATACTGATATTTCAAAGCTTTTAGATAAGTAGTTTCCAAATGTCCCAAATGTCATACTCCAGATCAAGGCCAGTCAATGAGAGACTTGTTTGTCACCAATGTGGAAAAATGAGGAAAATGAGAAGTTTCACCTAAGGTTAAATGAAGTCAATATAGAAGTTTATTGTTTATCTAATACTATCTTCTTGCACATTGGTTTTATAATTTTCTTTCTGTTATTGAATTATGGTGGTGGTAGATGGTAATTTTTTGGAAAGGGGCTTGATACTCTTACTTGGCAAAACAAAAATTTAGCAATCTCATGTTTGCTTCCCGCTTTTTTACTTTATTTTACTGGTAAGTACATTCAAAATCTGGGGATCTGTATGCTGGAGAATAAACTACTCCATTTTTCTACAAGTCGACCATTTCGGAGATTGGAAATTTTCTCTGTAAGTGAGATTCCTGACATTGTACAATGCCCTTTCTATGTCATTTCAAAGGCAGAATAAGCCACCATTTACCTGAAGTATTTGAACGGTGGGATGTGGGCAGTAAGGGTACATTGTCTCTCTCCCTGATCCTTAAACCCTGTGGTTTCCATTCCTCAGTAAAAACATCATAACTTTATTTTAAGGTTTTGGTTACTATTTGCAGGTAACTTAAAAATTGTCAATTGTTTAAGCTTTGGTATAAATGAATATGAGAGAGGATGATGATATCAAAAGATAGAGAGAGCATAAAGACAATATAAACTTTAGGTACTGTAAAGACTGTGAAAAAAGAATAGTATAGAGTGGTGTAATTGTAGCCATTGGAAATGAGTATCAACTTTTCTTTGTGAGAAAGGTTAATCCCAAATCTTGATAAACATTTGCTTTATCATTTAAAAACCTCTTACTCAATCTTCTACATTCAGTTGAAATCTTACTTCATCTGAAAAGTCCTTACAGATCTCATCAATCCGTCCTTTGAATTCCCTCAAAATTCTGACCATATATCTATTATGGCATTATCTCATTTTATTTGTTTGTATGTATGTTTTTCCAGAAAAGGCATTAGTGAGCTGTTCAACAACATAGACCTTCTTCTTATGTGTGATTTTGCTGTGTCTAAATTGGTTTCTGACATGAATTGCATAATTAATAAATGTCTATACAATGATTAAATGAATGAATGGTTTTTTAATCAATCTACATGAAAATGTTATTAATTCTGTAGAATATGGCAAATGTTCGTTGGGTACTGAATACTGGGGCAACATTTACTGGCTTTTGTTAACACTTAAGACATATGAAACACCAGAGTTTTTCTTTCACATACATAATACTATATAATCTTCACAACATCCCTTGGAGGTACATAAAAGTATGCATTTAGAAACTAGAAAAAAAAGAGGAACAAAATAAAAAGTTGCTCATTATTTCATAACCCAGAAATAATGATTACTAATTTTTAAATTAATTTCCTTGTAATTTATTCCCATCCATGTTAAAGTTTGGGTCACGTTCAGTATTCTGATTTATCCAGTATTCTCCCAATATATGCATTCACATCAGAAATATCACCACCAAGGGGAAAAACTTGACTCCTGGGGGAGCGGCAAAAATCTTAGCTATCACAATGATTGATGGCCCTCCAAAGACTGTCAGAAGTGATTGAGAGAGATGGAGTTAGCCCTTTCTGAATCTTTTAACAAAAAAAAAAAATCTAAGATCACCTCAAACCTCACTCTTAACTCTTAAAAAGTCACATAATCACATCAACAGCTACCTGAGCCCCTAGCTTTATAACTCATCTGTATCTTTGTTTCCAAAAAGCTTTCTAACAGGCCTATGACTATAACTTCTCTCCTACACAGTTCAAATTTCAGTCCCATATCCCTGAACATAAAAGCAAAAGTTCTCAATAAAATATTAGCAAAACAAATTCAACAATCCTTTCAAAGAATCATACACTATGATCAAGTGGGATTTATTCCAGTGATACAATGATATTTCAACATCCACAAATCAATCAATGTGATACACATTAACAAAATGAAGGAAAAATAAAAATCATATATCCATCTTAATAGATGCAGAAAAAGCATTTGACAAAATTCAACATCATTCATGATAAAAACTCTCAACATGGTAGGAATGGAGGGAATTTACCTCAACATAATAAAGCCCATATAAGGCAAGCCCACAGCTAACATCATGCTCAATGGTAAAAAATTGAAAGCTTTTCTTCTAAGATCAGGAACACGATGAGGATGCACACTCTTGCAACTTATTCAACATACTATCGGAAGTCCTAGCCAGAGAAATTAAGTTAAAAAAACAAAAGGCATCCAAATTAGAAAAGAAGTAAAAATGTCTCTATATGCAGATGACATGATATTATATATAGAAAACCCTAAACACTCCACCAAAAAACTATTAGAACCACAAAAAGAATTCAGTAAAGTTGCAGGATGCTGGGGCGGGCCTTGTGGCTGAGTAGCTAAGTTCGCGCACACTGCTGCAGGCGCCCAGTGTTTCGTTGGTTCGAATCCTGGGCGCGGACATGGCACTGCTCATCAAGCTACGCTGAGGCAGTGTCCCACGTGCCACAACTAGAAGGACCCGCAAGAAAGAATATACAACTATGTACCGGGGGGCGTTGGGGAGAAAAAGGAAACAAAATTAAAGATCTTCAAAGAAAAAAAAAGTTGCAGGATGCAAAAATCAATATACAAAAATCCATTGGTTTTGTACACTAATAACAAACTGTCAGAAAAAATTTAGAAAACAATCTCATTTACAACTGCATCAAAAAGAATAAAATACTAAGGAATAAATTTAACCAAGCAGGTAAAACACCTCTACACTGTGAACTATAAGACATTGATGAAAGAAATTGAAGACACAAATAAATGGAAAGATATTCCATGCTCATGGACAGAAAATATCAAAATTTCTAAAATGTCTATGCTACCCAAAGCAATCTAAAGATTCAATGCAATCCCTATCCAAATTCCAACAGCACTTTTCACACAAATAGAACAAACAATCCTAATATTTGTATGGAACCCCAAAAGACGTCATATAGCCAAAGCAACTTGATGAAAGAACAAAGCTGGAGGCATCAACTTCCTGATTTCAAACTATATTACAAAGCCATAGTAATCAAAATAATATGAGGTTGGAACAAAAACAGACACATAATTAATAGAACAAAATAGAAAGCCCAGAAATAAACCCACACATAATGAGCGGTCAATTTACAACAAAGGAACCAAAAATATACAATGGGGAAAGGGTATTCTCTTCAATAAATGGTGCTGAGAAAACTGGACAGCCACATACAAAAGAATGAAATCAAAATTCTTACCTTACACCTCTCACATTAATTAATTCAAAATGGATTAAAGACTTAAATGTAAGATCTGAGCCATAGAACTCCTCGAAGAAAACACAGGGGAAAAGTTCCTTGAGATGGATCTTGAAAATGAACTTTTGGCTACAAGACCAAAAGCATAGTGAACAAAAACACAAATAAGCAAGTGTGATTACACCAAACTCAAAAGCTTTGGTACTATAACAACAAAAAATCAACAAAATGAAATGAAAACATACAGAATGGGAGAAAATATTTGCAAACCACGTATCTGATAAGAGGTTAATATCTAAAATATATAAGGAATTCATACAACTCAATAGCAAAAGAACAAATACTCTGATTAAAGAATGGGTGTAGACCCTCCTGGTAGCATAGTGGTTAATTTCACTTGCTCCACTTCAGTGGCCAGGAGTTTGCTACTTCAGATCCTGGGCGTGGACCTAGACACTACTCATCAAGGCATGCTGACACGGTGTCCCACATAGAAGAACTAGAAGGATGTACAACTAGGATACACAACTATGAACTGGGGCTTCAGGGAGAAAAAAAAAGAAGATTGGCAACAGATGTTAGTTCAGGATCAATCTCCTCACCAAGAAAACTATGAGATTTCCTCCAAGTGATGCTTCTCTGTTAAAAAACAAAAAAAAAAATGGAGAGAGAACCTGAATAGACATTTTTCCAAATAAGACACACAAATGGCCAACATTTTACATGAAAAGATGCTCAACATCGCTAGTCATTAGAGAAATACAAATCAAAACCACAATGAGATATCACCTCACACCTGTTAGAATGACTATTATCAAAAAGACAAGAAATAACATGTGACATCAGCATCATGGTGAAATGGGTTGTTCCCTTTGTGTCTCTCCTCTAAATTACAACAAAATAGACATCCATTGACCAACAGGGAATTCCCTACACAGCACAACAGGAAACCTAAGAGATTCAGGGAGCTATATATCTGAAGGTGGGTGGACTGGGTCCCTGGGAAGCAATGGCACTAGGGGAGCATCCCTCTCCCCCTCCTCTGGTGGCAACAATACAGGGCGCAGATCTTCATGCAGTGGCCCAAGTGACTGTGAGTGGAGGTGAGGGCAACCTGGCCCCTGTGCATGAGAACACCCAAGGAGCAATGACAACATCTGGTGATAGCCCCATGTGCAAGTGAATGCCTTTGGGGCAGTGGCACTCACCAGCAGCGGCCCCCTACATGTGCAAATGCCTATGGAGCAATGGCAACATGATAACAGCCCTGCTACACAACGGTCAGTGGAGCTATAGTGGTGGTGGCAGGCTGACCAGCACAATTGCAAGCAAATGGGGCAGGAGCACCCAGCCCCCAGTGGCAGCACTCCTGACAACAACTCCACCATACAAGTGCAGGCATGCAAGTCCCCGGGCCCCTGGGCTGCAGCCAGTGACAGTGACACCTGTGAACACAGCACCACCTGGTGGCAATGCAACCAGCATCTACAGACAACTCCAGGACAGCACTGCAGCTGGTGAACAGGACAACGGCACTTGAGCTCTCAGAGAGCCAGTTGAGAAACACAAGACCCAGGTAACTGAAATCAAAGTAACTGAAGCTGTACCCAAATCAGGAAAGGTGATTACTGTCACATGAACCAGCAGAGAATCAATTCATCAAACAGCATTAAAAACTACATTAACAATCCAGAGCAGAAGGAAAATGAGAAGTCTCCAGAAACCAAACCTGAAGAAATTACACAGAAATTTGCCATCTAAATGACAGAGAATTCAAAATAGCTCTCATAAAGAAACTCAATGAGTTAGAAGAAAAGTCAGAAAGACAGTTCAATGAGCTCAAGAATAAAATTAATGAACAGAAAGAATACTTCACCAAAGAAATTGAAGTTCTAAAAAAACAAAAACAAAAAGAAACTCTGGATAAGAAAAACACAATTAATGAGATAAAAAAAATAATGCAGAAAGCATTAAAAATAGAGTAGATTTTATGGAGGAGAGAATTAGTGAGCTCAAAGATAGAAACAATGAAATGATTCCGGTGGAGCAGGATAGAGAATTAAGATTTTCAAATAATAAAGAAATTCTTTGAGAAATATTCAACTCAATTATGAAAAGTAACACGAGGATTATAGGTATCCAAGAGGGAGAAAGGAGCAGAGATCTTATTCAAAGAAATAACAGCTAAGAACTTCCCAAATCTGAGGAAAGAATTGGACATGCATGTACATGAGGCTAATAAAATGCTTAATTACATCAATCCAAAAAGACCTTCCACAGTCATATAATATTAAAACTGTCAAAACTCATTGACAAAGAAAAAATAGTAAGGGAAGCAGAAGAGAACAAAATAACCTACAAAGGAATACCCATCAGGATTTCAGTGGATTTTTCAGCAAAAACCTTACAGGCTAGGAGAGAGTGGAATGATAGATTCAAAACACTAAAAGAGAAAAACTATCAGCCAAGAATACTTTATCCAGAAAAGTTATCTTTCAGATATAAAGGAGAAATAAAACCTTTCCAAGACACACAAAAGCTGACGGAGTTCATTGCCATTAGACCTGCCTTCCAAGAAATGTTGAAAGGAACCTCCTACCTGAAATAAAAAGTCAAAAGTTTACAAAGCTTTGAGAAAAGTGATAGACAAAATCAGAAAACTTTAGCTCCCTATCAGAACAGGTTAGCAAACACTTAATTATTAAATAAAGTAAAAAAAAAGCATCAAAGATACTATTAACACTTCAATTTAGTCACAAACTCACAACACGAAAAAGAAAAAAATTGTGACAACAAACATATAGAAGGGGAAGATGAAAGAGAGAGAGTCTGCATAGGCTAACAGAGATAAGAGGCAATCATAAAATGTACCTTCTCATCAGTGACAACTTTTATCCAAATCTTATGGTAACCACAAAACAAAAAATCAGAGCAGAGCTACAAATCATAAACAAAGAGAAAATCATCACAGAAAACCACCAAACTGAAATGGCAGGCAGAAATACAAAGGAAGAAAAACAATGGAAATATATAACAAGCAGAAAACAAAAGATAAAATGGCAGTATTAAGATCTCATATATCAATAATCACTCTAAATGTTAATGGATTGAATTCACCAATCAAAAGACACAGAGTGGCTGGATGGATTAAAAAAGAAGACCCAGCAATATGCTACTCCAGGAAAAAACTCTCACCTCTAAAAACAAACATAGTCTTAGAGTGAAAGGATGGAAGGTGATACTCAAAGCAGATGGCAAGCAAAAGACAGCAGGTGTAGCCATATTCATATCAGACAAAGCAGACTTCAAGAGAAAACAGACAATGAGAGACAAAGAGGGGAATTATATAGTGATAAAAGGGACATTCCACCAAGAATACATAACACAGGAATATACATGAACCTAACACAGGAGCACCAAAGTATATAAAGCAACTATTAACAGACCTAAAGGGAGAAAATGACAACAATAATAGTACGGTACCTCAACACCCCACTTACATCACTGGATAGATCATCCAGATAGAAAGTCAACAAAGAAACAGTGGTCTTAAATGAAAGTCTATACCAGATGGACTTCATAGATATACAGAGAAAATTCCATCCCAAAA